CCCCCACCCAACTACCACCATAGTATACTTTATGATCTCAAACTGTTACAACCTCTTAAAGATTGGATTTTTTTTTCTCCACTTGCAACAACTCACAAAACTGAAGTGGACTTTTTTTTTCTTTTAAAGATTTTTTGTTTAGAATCTCCAACCCTGACAGGCCGTTTCCGATCAATTCCAGGCGTGCATTTGGTGGCACGGTTATGTGTGTACACTACCATGTCTTCTTGTATGTTTATGGGGGGGGGGGGGTTGTCCGTACTTTTGTCTCTGCTTTTAGATATGAATTTTTATTTATTGTCAACATAACATGACTGAATACTGCGTGATATTATTACATAAAGAACTCATTCCGTGTTGAATTTTGAACTACATTATATTATTTGTGCTGTTGTGCGTTTAGTGCACAGACTTGAAATATGATATCTTAGACTGTGCACTGTCATGGCTACTACTATCGGTCTTTACCCTCTATAAAAACTTCCCTGCAAAGCATGCGCACTATGGGCGCCTGATTCAAGAGCAAAAACACACACACCACTCTGTAAAGTCTATTGTCGAGCGTGAACTATCTGGTGAACTTTTCCTTTACTTGGCTCCAAACGAGGCAAATTATGCTGGGCTCCACAGTGAACCGGAATTACGTCATAGTACGCAGTCTAGGATATTATTCTATAAGTCTATGGCGTAGAGTGATGAGAGCGTGTGTGCTCCACACTGAACCGGAATTACGTCATAGTACGCAGTCTAGGATATTATGCTACAAGTCTATGGTGTAGAGTGATGCGTGTGTGTGCTCCACATTGAACCGGTATTACGTCATAGTACGCAGTCTCGGATATTATACTACAAATCTATGGTATAGAGTGATGTGTGTGTGTGTGTGTGTGCTCCACATTGAACCAGAATTACGTCATAGTACGCAGTCTAGGATATTATGCTACAAGTCTATGGTGTAGAGTGATGCGTGTGTGTCAGTGTCTGAGCTAGACTGATACTGATGAGACAGGGATGTCAATGATATTTTATGCTGGATATATGACTGTAATTAATATATCAACGTGAAAATCGACGACAACTTATGAGAATAAATGTGTTACGAATGGGAATAATTATGTAAGGGTTCATTTTTCTCCACAATTATGGCATTCCATGAGTATATGTCCTATTGTTTGTCTTCTTCATCTTGACCTTTATCCACCCCCACCCCATACACACACATCTATCTATTTATCTTTCTATCTATCTATCTATCTATCTATATATCTATATATCTATCTATCTATCTATCTATCTATCTATCTATCTATCTATCTATCTATCCATCTATCTATCTATCTATCTATCTATCTATGTGTAAGTGTAAGTGGTAATGTGTGTGTGTTCGTTTGTGTGTGTAGGAGAGAGAGAGAGGGAGAGAGAGAGAGAGAGAGAGTGAGAGAGAGAGAGAAAGAGA